CTGGCTCGTCTGTCTCCTCCCTCCTTCGGCTCCTCTGTCTCCTCGAGAACCGCAGGTATGAAAACCTAATTGCTCCTGTGTGCCTTCCGTTTGGGTGCAAAAACGTACCCAAACCGCACTCGACACGGGTACAGCGCCAAACTTGTCGTGTCGGGGTATCATAGACCGATGCTATGGCATCAGTCAACCGATGACCATTGGCCGGTTGACTGATGCCATAGCATCAGTCGACCGACGAGCTTCCAGAGCTCGTGCAGGATTCGTGTTCGGGTCGGTTTTGGTTTCAATTCATGCTTAGTTCTATACATAAGTATATATATTCGTTTTAAACCTCTTTCCTGGATCTTTTCACGTGAATTATCAGCAGCCACATTTCCTCTCAAACCCTAACCCTAATTTGTAAGTTTTGGAAGAGTTCCTGGGACGTTTATCGAGAGAAAGGCGGGATTTGCGATCTCGGTGAAGGGTGATCTTGCATGCAAGTGTTAGGGAGTTCAACACGACGTTTGAAGTAAGATCATCTTCCTCCAAACCTTTCCCTTAGTTAAAGATCATGTTTTTATGAGTTAACTTGGTTAATCTAATGTTAAAGCTTAATACGATGTTTTAGGAACTTAGTTTATGATATTTAATCTTAAACCAATGAAAAGGATCTGTAAGATTAACCTTTGTTTTATTAGTTTTGATGATCATGATCATTAGGATTGTTTTAACATGTTAATTTCAATTTAATTTGGTTATATGCACTAAATTATCGAAATAAACAAGAATTTAATTAATTTGTATGTTAAACCTTAGATCCATGAGTTCACAATTTCACATTGATTTGATCTTGTTTAAACAAACCTTTAGTCAAGTATTCATCAGTTTTTTATCAAGTATATTAATAAAAACCTGAATTTTTGAAGAAAATACACAAAAAAACCAACCTGGTAGTTTCGGTCTGATCAGTCGACTGACTGTATGCGTCAGTCGACTGATGAAGTATAGTCGGCATAGTCCCAGTAGCCGATCAGTCGATCAAAGCTCCTTGTCGGTCGACTGATCAAACCTTCAATGTGGTTTTTGTTTCCTTTACACATGTGTTCATTTTGCGAGTGTGTAGTGCAAGTTGTATGTTGATATTTACGCATATTTTGAGGAGTACACGTACTAGGTTTGAGTACGCATGATTCCATCGTTTGGGGTATCCAAATAGTTTGCATTCGTTACGAGTAACAATTATTATTGTTAGCTTTTGTTGAGGATGCTGAGTGGGGTTAGTTGGGGCCTGCAATGAGACCGCGGATGGACTACACTCTGAGTACGTTAGTCAGTACCGCAATGAGACCGTGATGGATTTCACTCGCTTATTCATTTTTGTGTCCGCACGAGTGTGCGTAGAGGTCGTTGAACCTATGTTTTGGGTCCGCATGGTTATGCACAGAGGTTGATATACCTATTTGTCGGTCCGCACGGGGGTGCGATGAGTTGAAGAATTTCAGAGAAGGACGATCTGATAGATTTGATGATAACCTGAGTGTAGGCGATTATTGACATTCTTTTGATATGATCTATTGTGAAGGTATTTCACATCGTTGGTACACGGGATTGTGTATTGGCATTTATTTTGTCCATTTAAGGTAAAAATGAGGAGTTGCATGATTTTATGGGGATGTTTGTCGTAAAACTTTCCTGTATTACGTTTCTTTATTATTTTACTTGGTTAGTTAGAATTTATATCTAGAAATTCACAACTTAAGGCATATGGTAAGGGTTGTCTTGTTTGGATTATTTCGCTCGACATACCAGTCTCGTGTTTTGGATTTCTAAATATAAATCCCATGTAGCACAGGATAAAATAATTTAGGTAGACTATGCACTTATAGGTAGAGCCTCCATCATACTTAGTAGTCCTTCCCCTGAGGGCGGATGGAGATGATCTTGCTAGCGCGTTGACGCTGTTGATTTTCCTTCTTTTCAGGCAGCGAATCAGAGTTTCGAAGAGCCGCAGGTTGACAGACTTTCAGCATAGTTGCCGTCACTTATAGTAGTTTCTGCTCCACAATTGTTTAGATTGACTTTTGGTTGATTATTAGACTTGCATTTCATTTTAGAGCTGAGAACCTATGTATTTTTCAGTTGATTCTTGTAGTTAAGATTATTGACCATTTGTATCAGATTGTTGGACGTATTTTCTTCTGTCTATTGAGACTTGATTACTTCTGATATTGATCATTTGTTTCTTATGTTCTATTTCCTATTTTCATCTCTTTTATATCTGCTTATACCTGCACTGTCTTTTATTGATTCCACTAGAGAGGTATTACTGTGATGGTGAAACGTGTTATTGCACTGTGTGGGTGCATGACAGTTTTGACATTTCTGGATTCATCTTGAACCGCAGTCTTGTGTGAACCCAGGGGCGTCACACATGTATGCATGAGTGGAATTACTTCGAAGGGAAAAATATTTAACATTGTAAGGATGGAAATCTAAGAAGAATTTACCTTGAAAGAGAAATTAATTGAGGAGAGGTCAAGAGAAGTGCGGGCATCAAAATCATTTAGTTCACTATATTCATCTGCCTGGATGTAGGAGAAAGCAGTGTTGGTTAGTTTATACACAATAAAATATACACAATAAAATTTAAACATTTGCTACTGTGAACCAAAAGAAAAAAAGACGTATGAACATCACTATCACAAAAAAGTCAGAAGTCTCTTTTCGCTAAGGTGGTGAACTATAGACTACTGCTTAATATTTTGTTCTGGCAAGCCAACAAATAATATCTCCATAAGAAAGTAAGAAATATAGCCCATAAATACGGATTTGGGTAGTTTAGTTTTGTCAAATAAAAATGTTAATGTCTAAATGGCTAGACTTCATTTAAAGGAAAGAAAAAAAAGAGAACTGCAGGTCGCTCATAGATAGTGCAAGCAGATCAATTAAATCTATAAAGCATCTGCCATGTGTCAATTAATGATGTTTTCTTTTGCCTACTGTCAATAAGAAAACATAGATCAATGTTTTCATTCTGCACAATTACTATATGACAAGCGAACTGATCCTTTTTGCAGCTACGTAAGTGTGGAAGACATCGGTTTGCTTACCATACAGAAATATGACCACAGCATACACATCTAGATTACCTGTAAAAATTTAATACAGGTCAAGGGCAATAATAAGATAGGTTCTAGTGTTCTACATAACCTTACAGTTCGAAGGTGAGGGAAGTAATGGACTGACAAGAAGTGGCTCAGGCACTTCAGAATTAATTGTTATTATGGGATATTACAGCTGCAACTTGGCAAACTGTCAAGGATGTTGAGAACTATATTCAATAACAGACTGTGTCCTGTTTCTCTAGCTGTCCCCGGGGATGTTGAAAGCTATAATCAATAATGGATAGTGACCGGTTCATCTAGCTGTTTTGGGGATGTTCTTAAGTAATAACCATTGGTTTGATCCTAGCCTAAGAGAACCTGATACCATAGCATAAGTATCGAGGGGGTCTCTGCATGCCAATATAGAAATATATAAATACTATATATATATAATATATATATATACAGACTGCTGACCTTTGAATTGAAAATTACTAATTCTTATGCCCTCACACATACTTAAATATACAATCTTAAACACCTCTACATATCTCATGAGTGAATGCTCAAATAAAACAGCAACACAAGTAATAATTAAACATGAATCTCCAGTGCCAGTCCATAGATTCGACACATACATGATCCAAGCATAACTAAGTTAACCGAGAAAATTAGAATATATAATATGCAAATAAACTAAATATTTCATGAATATTGAAGTTTAATCCAGTTATATTGATAAATGTATAAAAGAATGCATACATTTGCCTCGGTCGCAGTAGAGCTAGACTTGGTTGCATCAGACGCATAGTCGCTAGAGTTCTCATCAAGAGCAATTTGTGAAGAAATTGACGAGTGTCGTGTCATGAAATAGCTTGTATCATCTGCACTATCAGGGCATGGGATAAAGGCAGCCTGCGAAAAATACTGAAACTTAGCTGAATGACTGGAGATCAGTTGCATCTTAAATACATGAAAGTTAGCATTTATCAGCATCTGTGATGCAGCCATGTGTCTGCTAGGAAATATATGGACCTAAATTTATGGCAAAATCTCAAAGACAAGCATAACGACATAAAAATGTTCACACAGTTATGGTTCTATGACAATAGTTTGCTTAAACCAAATGATGTTCAGAGTCAAGGAAAACTATGTTCAACAACAACAATGAAGTCCCAAATTTCTCGGGTCGTCTACGTGAATCACACTGCTCCACTCAGCTCTGTTGACAGCTATTTCCTCCACTAAGTTAATCATTATCACCTCGTTCTTATAATCTTCTAACCAATTTCTCATAGGCCTACATCTACTTGCCCTTTCTCTTATTAATTATAATCTTATCACTTCTCCCAATTTGTGCATCCTTACACTTGACCAAACTATCTCAAATGATTCTCTCACTTTATCTTCAATAGAAGGAACCTCTAACTTTCTATGTATGCACTCATTTATTGTCCTATGTTAGTGTATATACACTTTTCCGTCATGGCAGTCTCATTTCTGCTAGACTCTGTTCTTGCATATGTAGTTTCTTAATTGCCAACATTCTGATCCATAAAACACTGTGGGTCTTATAGCCATCCTATCAAAAATTTTCTTTCAATTTCAGATATTTTGTACAATCACATAGGACGCTGGACGCACTCCTCTAGTTTAATCGTTCATTTGACTTGATAAACGACATCATCTCGGTCTCTAACATTGCCATTTACTTCTCAATCTCTCATTTCTTCTTCTCCATCTCTTAATGCAAACGTCCAATACTATCAATCTTTGTTGTTGCCTTGTTGGTCAAGTTATCTACTAGTAAGATTGTACAATCTTTGCATGTTAACCTGTCTACTTTTTTGTAAGGCCCTTCTGTGTTTTGAAATAGCAAGTCAAATACCACGAGTTCAAATCCTATCAGGCCCCCTTTGTTTGATACCTCAAGCACACAGAATGTCCAGCACAACACGGTGCACGATGTTGTGATATGATCCAAACTTGGATACCACCAGGTTAACAAATTCTAACCTGAGCACATAGTGTCCCCAACTGCACAGACAATGCACTATGCAATCATTCCCTTTAGGGCTCCAATAGACAATTGCGTCCCTCTTGCATAAGAATTTCACCCATGTCAATGAGATAGTCCAAAGCGTGGGTATATACATCAAATGGCTTACTATAATCTAGAATGGCCGTTATCGTATAAGCATTGATGACTCCCTTTTTAAGTCCTCAAGGGCTTCTTTATAATTTATTGACATAGCCGATTCTTCGTAAGGAGATTAGTCAATGACGCTGCCTTTTAGATTTTACCATGCCAAGAAAAGATCATAATTTATGTACCTCTGATGGAAGATCAAATTTCTTTATGATCTTCACCTTCTCACTGTCAACGCCTATGGTTCATCACTTGATCTGATGTACAAGAAGCAAAACAGATGTTGAGCAAAAAGAGCACTAATCCTCCTTGATAAAAAGTTGGTTGATGCATCACATCTCTTTTTTACATCAAGGCTGTCTCAAACGGCTCTCTGGATCAAACCACTATTCTTTTCATAAGAGCCCATCCTCCATTACAAGAATAATATCTTGCATCCTATGTCTTTTTTACTATAATTTTCTAAGTCCTTCAAGATACGACGCCTTGTTTCCTAATAAATGAGTACATGAGACTTCCATGTTCATTTGTTAGGTCTCTGCCGTACCAATTTTCGGATTTCAGATGGGACATGTTACATGCAATTTTAGAGCATCATATAGCACCATGGTTGAGGACTTACTTGGAATCAAGATATTTTAATCCATTTTTTGGACATTTGTACTAATAAGAATGTCTAGTCACTTACGAAAGCTAACATTTCTTTGGCATTAACTACTACTTGAAACTTGCTGAAAGACTATTTTGGCTTTTTTAAATAAACTATGTTTAGCAAATGCATCACATTGGGACATAGTTATAAACAAGTGTCACCTATTTGCACTTTCAATTATAAAACTTTTTGTTGTTATGGCGATTGTTAATGCAAAAAAGGAGGCAACATAAGAGAGCTGACTAGAGAAATAGAATATGTGTCACCACCAAAATTATAGAGGAAAAGCTTGAAATTGCAGTTTTTGGTAATAGTTCTAAAACCACTGATTATTTTTCCCTTTTGGTTCTCAAAGAAAGCATTAAAACCTCTATGACTGCAGAAATACACTGATAACAAATTTATTGAATAAAAGAATGAGTACACACTTCCAAATGATCATTGCTATACCTTCTGTAAGGCAAGGTTTTCCCAATCAATTTCCTTGAAGAATGGATGTTCTTTTACCTACAATATTAATTAGCATGAGACATATAAAGGTAGTAAATTTTAACCTTCAGATTTTAAAATATCATATTTAGAGTACAACCTCTGATGCACCATTAGCTCCAAGCCGCAAATCTTGATCTTGATTGAGAAATCTACCCAACAAAGAGAAAGCATATAGTTATATATACTTTAAGATCTTTACCATTTTGCATATATAAAATACGTAGCTTTTCTACTTTATAGCACTATAATGAAAAAACAACCAGCATCATAACCATCACAATCACAATCAACATTATACATGCATTAACCCACCAAAAAATGGATTGGCTAGACAGAACTCAAAATAGAAAGATTTTGATGAAACATTGACCAAAATGTACAACTAAACACGGATTTGACTTTAACACTCTCAATTATTGCCAAACCCCAAAATGAAGAATATCTGGGGAAAAGCCGGTATGCCATAAAACCTAGAAACCTAAGTGAAGCACAGGGAAAATTACCTTATAACTCATACAATGAACGATCCTGTTCATTATAATTCTTATAGACAACCTAGTTAAAAAAGAAGAATAACAGTTGCATATACGAACTTGGTTCAAGCCCTAAAATATTAGTAATGATTTTATGGAGAAGAAAGATAAGTATTTAATCCGAGTCTAACGTCCTCTAGGATACTGCCCATTACAATTTTTCTAGACTATGAAAGAACATAGACAAAGGATTGCATATAGGAGCTTGTTCCGCTCTAAGATACACAAGTCAAGCAGACAATGAAAGATATCAGCAACAATTTTTGAAGAAGAAAGTTAAATACTTAATCTGATTATAATGTTCTCTCAAGCAATACTTCTATTGAAGTTCTTATGCTCAAGGTTGTGTGCATTGGAACTAAGATCTATATCATCTAAAAATTCCCAACAACAACAATAAAACCTTCAATCCCAAATTTTTAGGGTCAACAAGATGAATAATATTTGTCCTTTCACTTATGTTAATGGTCTTATTCAATAAGTTGACCACTATCACATCCTTTTTAATTACTTCCAGTCTATGTTACCCGGGTACTTCTATAATGAAGCCGTACCCGTACCGGACACGTACCCGACACTTTCCCGTACCCAAACTTCATGGACACTTCTTGAATATATGCATGCATTTATTACAATATGTACTTAATTATATGATATATGTGTTAATTTAAAACACTTGTCAAAGACTTCCTGGACGTAGAGCTTACACTTCACATCCGTCATTTGAAACTAATGAGATACGGGTCAGATTCGTTTCAGTCTATACCCAAGTTTAAAACTATATAGTTAATGGGTCGTTTAGATGTCTAGTAAAAAAAATGAGTAGTTTACAATTCACGATAATCAATATGATAAAAGAAACTCAAAAATGTGATCGGAATTTTAATTCTAATGACACATGAAGGGGAAAATTTTTATCTTATGTACCGTATTAATTCAATATATATATGTAGTCGTGTCCCCGTACCCTACATTTTATAGTTTTGCCGTGTCCCGTACCCGCACCCGCACCCGTACCAGTACCCGTACCCGTTTCCATGCAACTTAGCTTCCAGTCGAGTACTTTTAGGCATACTTGTGGTCCTCCGTGCTCCATTAGTTGTAAATCACTTTAGACTACTCTTTACATCAACACTTGGAAATCATTAGTAAAATGGTAAGTGATTAACATACAAGCTGATGCAAATCTTACCTAACGATTGTCATTTATTTGTTATGTTTCCATATTAGCTTGACTTGACTTGATATAAGTCTATAATATAGCGATCATATTGATACGGGTCGCCGAGCAAGCACCTTTGATCGCGGAATTATCAAAGGTGGGGTTGAGAAGATAACAGCGAGAACACACAAAAATTAAAGTGGCGAAGGAAAATATCTTCTCTAGATTATGAAGAATAAAAGATACAAAATCTCTCCCTCACAATCTCACTAGAATAAAGAACAATCTCCCTATTCATTTTAAAATCCAATCTGCTGTTTAGAAACCCTAAACAACCCCTATTTATATGTCTAACAACGTGAATGTCAATTTTGTAAATAACCAAACCCAATGGAACTTAGAAAACGCGTAAAAAAGGAATCCAGATTCACACAGGAACCTGATTCGATCGACCGGCCTGCTTGGTTCGGTCGACCGGCTTGCGAGATGTTTTTTAACCTTGTAGGCGTGCACGTTATCGGTCGACCAGCATTGGTCGATCAGTCGACCGATATGGCCTTTTCGGTCGACCGGTGTCAACCATTCGGTCGACTAACCAGAGCCGATTCGTCCATTTCCTGATTCTTTTGTTTTTCCTGCTTTTGACCTCTTTCGTCGCCACCAACGGCTCCACCCACGTCTCTATTCTGAAGCTACCATGAGAATCATCTATCATCAACCTCCCATGAGGATCGCTAAGCTCCCGAAGCAGAGAGAAGATACACCCGTATCATGACTCCCCCTTTAGGAACTTGAAGTCCCATTCAAGTTAGAACTTCAGCTGAGGGAACTCACGAGCCCCTCCTTTCCTATTGAACCACATGGCTTTGTTAGGAACCTGACATTGACGTCCGATCAGAAACGACTCCTTCGACCCGCATCTCGTCGTAGTCACCTTTCGCTCCAAAATATAATCCTCTTTCAGCGGCTCTTCATGAGGTCTAATGAACAGCGAGACAAACTTCTTGCTTGCATTCACTAGCCTTTTCGCTCGGTTCACCGTTACCAAGTTTTCTCCTTCGGAAGAGATGCCGAACGAAATATGAACTTGTGACCGTCTTTGGTGAACGTGTACTTCTGAGCTCGTCTTTCGTAGATTGCGTATCCATCCTACAAATAGGAATTGCTCAGTATAACCTGACAAACATCCAACGGAACTACGTCGCACGTGACCTCATCAATATACGACCCGTGTAGTGCAAATCTAAAAGTGTATTGATTAACCACACTCAGTCCCGTCTCCTTCTGAATCCACCCAAATGGTTAGGGTTTTGGATGTTTGATCGTCTTTAGACCCAGCTTCTGAACCAAGACCTCGGATATCAAATTCTTCTAATTGCCTGAATCATCTATGACATCCACCAAACTGGTCGTCACTTATAACTTAAGAACAAATAGCTGCTCTCTGGGATCTTCGTCCTCCTTCGCGGCCTGCTTCCCTGTCATAAGGTTGAGACTGCTATTGAGTTTCGTCATCTCAGGAATTTCTTTCGGATCTTATGCTATCACCTATGTTTTTTTCTCCTCTTTCTTCTTCAACCCATTTGACTTGAGATGAGGATACTTCTCCCAACATCGATCAACTATATGTCATGTCTTTTCGTAATAAATACAAATCAATCCTGCTTTATCTGGATCACCCTTATTCTTTTTCTTCATAGGTTGGGAACCACTAGACTCACCTCCAGCTTGCTTAGCATCTCCCATCGTCTCGTTGCTCTTCTTCTCCTTGCCCTTAATGTTAATAGCCTTCACGCTCGCCTATGCAATCGATCCGACCGTGAATAGCTTCATCTTCTTCCGGATATATTCGTTCAAACCCGCCATATACTTCATAAAGACCGAGTACTTATCCGTCACAATATTGAGGACCATCGCTTGTTGAAACTCAGTCGTGTATTCTTTAACGGTTTGATTAAATCTTTGACGTAAGTCGTACCACTTGTATCAACGCTCTTTAAGAAATCCCACCGGATAGAACTACTTTCTTAGCAACTCCTTAAACTTGTTCCATGACACCTTTTTTTCTCCTGCTTACAGTAGGATTTTCACCACGTCAACACGTGCCCTTAAAGCTTTAATGTCGCAAAAACGATCTTCTCTTTTGACGAATAGCCATAAAGAGTAAAATAAGTCTCCATACGCTCGATCCAATCATCAAACCTTTCGACGTTAACATTCCCATCATAAACATGAATCTCTACTCTGAAATCAATCTTTAGATTTTGGTAAGGATCCTTACCCTCTTGATGTGGAACAGCCCTGACGGCCTCGACCCTCCTTATCGGAATCTGAATTTTTACTCTTCTTACCGGACTCTACAGGTTTCTTCTTGAACTTTGAAGAAGATTCCCCCTTTTTATCCTCTCCATGGATAAGATCGACGAGTTGTGTGAGAGTCAACCCAATTGTTTCGATCTGCTTCTTCAATGCATCAAGTCTCGATGAGTTGTCACTTTCAGTCATCTTCTTCTTCCTTAATTTCTGAACCTCTTTCAAAGAAATAAGGATCTCGCCTAGCTTCTTGTATTACGATCGAGTAAGGATCATACGCAGAATACCCCTTCACAGGATCTAATTTGTTCTGATACCAACTTGATACGAGTCGCCAAGCGAGCACATTTGATCGCGGAATTATTAAAGGTGGGGTTGAGAAGATAATAACGAGAACACACAAAAATTAAAGTAGCGAAGGAAAATACCTTCTCTAGATTATAAAGAATAAAATATTATAAAATCTCTCCCTCACAATCTCACTAGAATAAAGAACAATCTCCCTATTCTCTTTAAAATCCAATCTGCTGTTTAGAAACCCTAAACAATCCCTATTTATATGTCTAACAACGTGGATGATAATCTTATAAATAACCAAGCCTAATGGAACTTGGAAAACGCGTCAAAAAGAAATCCAGATTCACCCAGAAACTCGATTCGATCGACCGGCTTGCTTGGTTCGGTCGACCGGCCAACAAGATGTTTTTTAACCCTGTAGGCGTGCACGTTATCGGTAGGTCGACATTAGTCGATCGGTTGGCCGATATGGCCTTGTCGGTCGACCGGTGTCAACCATTTGGTCGACCGACCAGAGCCGATTCTTTAATTTTTTGATTCTTTTGTTTTTTCTGCTTTTGACCTCTTTCGCCGCCACCAACGGCTCCATCCACTTCTTTATTCTTAAGTTACCATGAGAATCATTTATCCTCAACCTCCCATGAGGATCGCTAAGCTCCCAACGCAGAGAAGATACACCCGTATCACATATACTAGACCATATAGATGCCTCATTTCATTTTTAGAGTAGATCTCTAGTATGTTGTCATTATATAAACAAGTTACAATCTTACATAATACATCCCTCAGATTACCCATTTAAGTTTAACCCCTAAAGTCATTCAACATTTTCTCATCAATTTTCATCATAATCCTAGAACACATCCTTGAAATATAAAAGACAAAAAGACAGTTTTAAAAACAACCGTTTTTTAACATTAATGGGCAAAATCGACCATTTCAAAAAAAAAATAGCAATTTCTAAAAGTTTTTTTGAACTACACGGGACTACTAGTCCCGTGCATCCTGTCTCCTCACTCCCAAACCACCCGCTGAGCTCCCTAACAACCTCAGCTGTCAGCTCCTCATCCGACTCATTGTCGTACGCCTTAATCAATGACACCGACACCAACACCTTACCTTTGGGCCCGTAAGAAGGTGCAACGTTCTTCAACGTTCTTCACAAAAAAACATGTTGTTCACCATCCCTTGGCCCGATCCGTTTAAGATCAGTATCAGATATATATGCAGTTAGGAATATCTGGAAGCCGTGGTCCAGGAGGAAGCCATCCACAGAGTCAGCGCGGACGC